TGCTCCTCCTCTCCCCCCTTACACACCTCTTACAGACTCATCAGCATCTGCTGCTGTTTGGTCACTTTTCCTTTGTCATCCATTCATGCCTTTAATTTAGACTTCAACCTCAGGGAAGCCATAAAAGCCTTGTGGAAATCAAGACGTTGTTGAGCAGAAATGGGATGTGTGCAAATACTCTTGTTCTTGCCCAAGAATCTGAGAGCACATGCAGTGCCATCAGCTGACAGCACACACATACGCTCCCCGACAGTTACATAAACTCAGCTGTTAAAATTACATGCCATTATATAACAGGTGAAAACACAGGCTCCAACCTGCCAGCGCAGCGAGCGGGGCCTGAAACGCTGGGATTTAGGAAAAGCTGTGATTTGGTATAAGAAGTCAGTATTTGAGACCCCACTAGAAGAAAGGAAGCTTTATTTTTGTAGCACTTTGTATGTTTTAAGTGAGCCATCATACTAGTATGGAACGCAGTGGGATAATGTTCCCACTGCTGGCTCTGTCTTAGGGCAGAGTATCTTCTCACATCCATCAAAATACTACAGGTAGAGTTTGCTTGGGGTGTAACAAAGGCCTCTGGTTACTACAGGGCAAGGAAGATGAGGTTGTCCCAAATTCAGCTCCAGTCAGTAATATTCTCAGACACTAATCAATCATTCCAGAGCCTCATGCCACCATAGCTAGGCCCTGATTTTTTGGAAATGCAGTGCCATCAGCAGCTGTGGTAAAACCAGTCAGCAAGAAGACAGATTGCCTATAGTAAATAGAGCCCAATTAGTTTAAGTGTCCAGAAGTTACTACTGAATTATCTATATTTTAATAGTTTCTCATCAGTAGTATTTTCACTAGGTTTGGAGGAATTCAAGTCCTATTTATTCAAGTCCTATTTTTATGCTCTGTGCGAGACTTGAATTACATGACTGAAAAAATAACTGATTGGAAGAAACAAATTCTATTTATTTTTCGCTTCATTAACTCAAAAAATCAGTCATCTGTTCTCAAGCAACATTGCTTCGAAGCAAAGGTTATACACATCTCCTTCCTGTGGACCTGAAACAATTCTGTTCTGTAAGTTCATGGGAGTCTCCTCTTTGATCCCTCCTATCCAGGGGATCCTGTCTGGTGACCAGGATCAAAGACACTACCAACTGCATGCCCAAAATCAGATCCCATGCATGGTTTAAAGGAGCTACCAGAGTGCAATATATACAGGTCTGTTAAAGAGAAATTCAACCCCAGCACGAGACAAAACAGCTCAGTTTAGGATGGTTTAGGAAATAAAGAATTAACACTTATAACCCCAGAATTAACACTTATAACCCCAGAATTCTGTGACATATCTACCTATAAATTTACCTTAATACATAACCTAAAGAACAATGAATGTGCATCACTTGTATTTTAAAATAAAATGTTCAAGTAAGGACTGGCAGTGCAGGATCATTATTTCTCATTACTGCCATTATCAGCATGAAAATATTAGAACACACACGTGAGCTTGTCATTAAATACACCACAGCTGTTTTTAAAACTAACTGAATCATAAATCACTACAAATAAAGTTATCAGAAAAGGGAAAATTTTAAAGCTATGTGAGCAAGAGCAAAGCACAGCTTAGGGCTAGCACAGCAATCTCATAACGGGATACTTTCAGTCAAGTCTTGGATTAGATCCATGTCTCTCTGGTATGTCACTGGGAAGAGTAAGGCTCTGGAAAGGCAAGTGAGTTGTAGATATGCTGGTAGCACAACAGGAGATGGTTCCTACAGCACTCAGCTCTACTCCATCCTGCCCAAGGTAGAGCAAAGGGTCACTGTGAGAGTTTAAGCAAACACTCAATGCTAAGACCAGGAAGACATTTAAAAGCCTGGGAAGAGGCTGCAAAGGAAGAAGCTTTCTCGTTTTCCAAGTTCATCTGCAAGATGAAAAGCATCCACATCTTTATAGCATGAAGATAATTTGTAGCTAGAAACCATGCTAATTTTCATTATCATTTCATTGATTCCAATGCATTTAATATGCTTGCCTGCAGCTAGAGCAGATGACAGACAGCTTTACTTGGGAATTGTCCCGACTTTTAAAAATCTCTATTTCTCTCTGGAGAGCTTTGTCATTTACATATTAGTCATTTCAGAGCTCACTGGGTATGTTTTGGCCTTCTCCTGAAGCACAGGAGCTGTACCTGCCCCACCTGTAGCTCCCACACTGCCCTGGTGTCCTCACTGTGACACTCCTGGGATTAACTGAGTGAGGCACAATCCTGCAGCAATTTGCACAGAAATCCCAGAGAGAACAGATCAGTGAGTGTACAAATGTGGGCACCCTTACAGGATAGAGCCTCTCAGTATTACAGTGCAAAGTATGTTTGGGATCAATTTTTATTTCATTGAAGAAAACTCTCCAAGGTTGAAGTGTTTCAATATTTTACATTTTAGTAAGTAAAAAACTGAAGGCTTGATTTTCACATGTTGATTTTTTCCAAGTAAAAAGTAGTTTTAGCTCCCCATTTTTTTTATTCCAGGCTAGAAAAGGTTAAGAATCTAACAGCAAACACTATAACCTATCAGTAATTTTTCTTATCATGCCACTATTAACTTGTTTTAAAAAAAGCAAAGCAGATCTGCATGTTTATAGAACTAATTTTCTTATCTCAAGTGTCAGAGCTCATTCATGCAATATGCCACTATGACATGCTTTGATAGAATTCTTTATTAAAAGCATGGATCAGAGAAGCCATTGAGAAAATACATAATTATCAAGTTAATAACATACAGACATTCTGTTTATGGGATTACTCAGCTCTTTATGCTTTCAAAGCAAACCACTCCTTTGCTTTTCCACTACCAAACTTAGGCAAGTCAAGAGCTTCTGACTCATTAGAGAAAATCATTAACTTTTCCTATGGTACAGCAAAGATTTGGTCATTCAACATTTCCAACACCAAAGGATATTGAATCTTCAAGGAACACAAAACAAACACGGTCTGAAAGTAAGTATTTTCACTGTCGGTTATATCAAGGCAGTTTGACAACACCAGTCTAAACCAGTGGCTGCAGTCCACCCAGTTTTATTCTTCCCTTGATGTGCTGGTTCCAAGCACTTGTTTGACCCCATGGTGAGCTGGTTCAGGAAGTTAAGCTGGCAAAAAACTAACTGTACAAAAATAATCCCACAGGGAGGGGCAGGGCTGCAGCAGTGCTGGTTTGGATAGGCTGGTTGAGGCTGGTAATGAGCCACATTAATCATTTATGTATTTCTGCCTTTTTCCTCTCCACAACAAGATGTAAATCCAAACCTATGACTACTGGACCAGGAGTAAGGGAAGTCCTATGCCTATTAGACCAGGAGTAAGGGAAGTAAGGACACATGAAATGGCTGTTTGTCCATGAAATGACATCTTGGGTTTAGAAACATTTGACAAAACACCTTCAGACTGCAAAGCATTCCAAGCAATTGATTAGAAGCTATTTTCAAATCACCAAAGAACTGTTTGAAAGGCTTACCAGAAACATTAATTGATGTTCCTGCATCGATAATTCCACTGTTGGGCCTTACACAGTATCTACGTGGTGCTGTGGTCTTAACTTTGAAGCACACATTTCTGTCTGTAGGATTGCCGAGTTTCAGGTTTGTGGTGACAACATCTGTGAAAGGACCTGGAGAGGAGGAGCAGAACAGAAGCAGACTTGAAACAACACAGAAAGCACTTTTCAAGCAGAGGCTAAGCAGGTTCTAAATCTCTGTTCACAAATCTTGTAAAGTAATTAGATGTCCAATTTCCACCTAGGGCACGGACAGATCACCGTGCACGCAAGGCTGAGGGTGCAGCCAGGCCCCCCAGCACTGCCTGCAGCACACTCCAGCACCAGCCCAACAGCTGAGCTGATCAGCAGCAGCCAAACAAAAAGGGGAAATCATTTACACAGTGTGCCAACACAGCATGGCATTCAGAGGATGCCAAGTTCTCTGCTCTAACTGCTGAATCCCAGTCAGCCCAGGCTGAGAGGTACCACATGTACCCAGTGTTGTAGGTGATAAGTGCTAAGTACAGCACAGTTTGTTAACTAGGCAGGGAGTGATAACAAAGGGGCTACTACAGAGCCATCTGCACATGAAGCTGTGTCTCCACACAACCAGATTCCACCAGAAATGCCATACCAAACCAGCAAGACAACCTTTCAGAGTACACCCCCTTTTTCCTACCAACTTTGGTTTTTTGTTTTTTTTTTGTTTTTTTTTTTTTGTTTAATAACTCTCTTGGCTACTAGGAACTATAAACCAGAAGAAATAAAACAGCCTACCTCACCCAGTACAGGAAACAACCATGTGGAAACAGGAAAATTCTTAGACACTGAGAGCACTGGCAAAGATTAGCAGAGCCAGAATCAAACCATTGTCAAGTTGTGCAGCACCAAGTGCAGGAAAATCCATTTCTCCCAGGCTCCAAAGTGCCCCAATCCCTCAAGTTAGAGGAAAGACTGATTTCCTACAAGGCACTGCTAAATCAGACAGGTAGCACACAGCCACACTGCCTGCTCAGATGCTAAGGAAGTAAAATTAAAAGAAATATAACCACACTTTGATCAACTGTCTTCTGCATAAAAGTGATTCATTTGATGCCTGAATAACAGATCTTCATCTGTCCTCAGGAGTAAAAGCAAATTGGTCAAAAAAAGCATCAAACTTTCCCTTGCAGAAATGACAGCCCTAAAATTGAAAGGGTGAGTGACGATGATAATAAAAATACTGGCAGGCAACATTCCTCCATCCTCCTCCTGCAGCATGGTTGGCTTAAAATAATTTAAGTTTGCTTCTTTTTATACCAATTTATCACACAAATTTGTCTCCCAAGATGATATTTAATACAGCTGTAGCAGTCCTGCAACCTTTATCCTCAATCCAATTTGTTTTAAGAAGGGGAAAGCCCCAAAACAATCACACAGAGAAAGACACCCAAGCAGCACCATCCCTGCCTGCACTCTGAATCAGCTCTGCATTTACAATGCAACCTGGGAGCAAAAAAAATAATTGGAAGCAATAAAATGTTCAGCTCCCATGGCAAAGAGTTCACTAAACCTGTGCCTGGTGAAACACTGAGATGTGAAGGAGAATGAAACACAGCTGTCAAGTTTTCTCTGTGTTCTGCATGCAGAGAGAGACCTTCAGCCTAATGGAAAATAACTGAGCAGGAGCAGCCAGGAGTTGTTAAAGAAGTTAAAAAAGCCAAACCATGAGAAAAATCCAGCAAGCATTTAGGTGTGTAAAGACAGTAGCAGATCTTCTAACTGGGAGAAATCGAACATTTCAGAAGAAATTCCATGATGCCTAAGCATTAAGGATGTGTCTTTACTAAAATATTACAGCCTGAGCTGTTCCAGCACAGAGGGAGGGTTGGCTGTGCAAAGCCCTACATATGCAGCAGCATCCTCAGCAGAGCTTTACTGGTCTGCATGCTGGGATAGATTTCCTGGGGGAAATACCATGTTTTTACTTGGCTGATCCATGAATGCATGTGGGATTTGCGTGCCCCAGCACAGAGCTGCTGTTTGAAACAGTAATACGACAACAATTCTGTGTGTAAAATAATTTCCAACCGGAGTTACTTATTGCTAACATAGATCATACCAAAATATTTGGCAGCAAAACCCTCCAGCAGACGGAATTCATTTCTTCTTGTCTGCTTGATGTTTCCTCTGCTGTTCTGTCCACTAAACTTTACAGAGTTTCTTGAGCTACATTTTCCCCCCAATTGCAGGTTTTACACATCAGCCAGCACAACTGTACTAGAAGGCTGACATCTGCTTTCAGTAAACCTGTGTGCAGGCGCAGTCCTTCTGGCACTGCTGTTCCAACACTGCAGCAAAGCAAAACACAGCAGACAAACACAGGATTAATGTGCCATTGTAGGTGCTCTGAAGTGTGCAAAAAAATAAATAGATAACAGAGCATTACTCAGGGGTAATTGGGGCATGGCAGGGAAATATTATCAGCTTGGTTGCCTGCCTTTTGAGCAAGGCCATGGACTGTCAGCTCGGGCTGCAGTGAAACCTTCACAGCCTGTTGCTCCATCACTGTAACCAAGGTCAGAATTTTTGGGGGAGGTTGGAGTATGTGGCAGATAAACACAAGCTAATTCTGCACTGGAGATCCACTTTTGCCTTCCAACATTTGGAACTGAGCACTGGAGATAAGGCTGGTGTGGGTATTAACAGACATAAAGACACACTTCTACTCTGGAGCTTTGTTTTCCAATGCAAGGCATTAGGACTCCTGGAATCATACCCAGATACACTTCTTTCTGATGATCTGTCCTCACTACAAGGAGATGAACTATTTATACAGTATATGCAGCACCTGGACACTGCCTGCACCCCTAAGGTGAGCTGTGAGCACAACCACAATCAGACTGGTGCATCTGGATGGCACTTGGGTAAAAGCAACAAGTTCAGCCAGGACTGATTCTTACTGAGCTGCACTCCTAAAACCCACAACACATACTCCATTATACTATTTTCAATGTTTTTCTATTTTTTGATTGCTCTTACTATTGCTCCAGAAGCAACTTAAACTAAGGCAGGAGCTTGTCAAATGACAATTTGCACTTTAAAACCATCCCAACTATGTTTCTCACGTGTTTATTAAAGATCATGAGAAAAATGCCACTGGTGTCATCCCAAGGACAAAGTTATGGGAAACTGGGTCTGTACATGCATCATCTGACATGGGGTTGTCATGGGAGCAAGTTGTCTACAAGGAAGAATGTAGTAAATTGAACTTGGTGGTGAAAGTCTGTAATATTCCACAAGGGCTTGATGACTTTTTCCTGCCAAAATAAAGACAACTTGTGTTAATACGAACTGGGCATCCAGTGATATGCAAAGTAGCAGCCCTACTGAAAGGAAAGGAAACATCTCCTCATATACTCATGCAACAGCAAACAGTAAGAGGTATCACAGTTTTCCATAGGGCCACTTTTCAGCAGGGTTATTTCCAAGCTACAGCTGTGGCTTTCCACCCAGGAGCTACACATCCAACCCTACACATTTGAGGATCACAGCCATTATCTCAGAATTTGCTATGCTCCATTTCCTATTCAAACACCAGTGCTGTATCAATCTTTCCTCAGAGTGCCATTCTGCAGCACACTGCATTATAATATCCCACATCATGGTGGCAATAATACAAAACTCTGGGAATTAGGTCAAAAGAACATGATGTCAACTCTATTTAAATTTTAAATCACTCTCATTGCAATAAAAATTGCCCATAATTGTACCAGCAATTCCAGGCTGATAACTTTTTGATCAGTACTCGCTGTGACGTTACACAGAGCTACATCATTTGTGCTGAATCTTAACACAACCACTCTCACCTCAACCAAAATTCCTTGGCAAACAGTCCTCAAACTGTTTGGCATGTGAAAGAAGTATCAGCAGAGGGAAAGCTTTGATGGCACAGGCTTGGACAGGAGCAAACCCAATAGGCAGAGTCCTCTGCAGATTTGTACTTGCAAATCCTACTACATCTTTGTAATTAACTCCACACACCAGGTGGGCCACAGTCCCAGGGCTGCTTTATTCCTTCATCAGTGCATCTCACCGCTGAGAGGGGAGCTCTCCTCTGCACCACCTGCCTGTGCAAGCTGCACAGTGTTCCCCTGTGTGTGCGAGGGCCGAGCCAAGGAGCTGCTGGGCTGGCAGCTAATCCACTTACCAGACAGGGAGGGAGCAGTGGGGAACAGAAAAAGGAGAATCAGTTTTCAGACAGATCAAGCAGCACTCAGATCTGGCATCAGGGAAACTGCATCTTCCTGCACAGCATTCTGCCAAATTGAGGCAACAAAGTCTCCTACTTAGTAGGTTAAAGCTAGCAAGCACATCTAGGCATATGCACTGCAGTCACACTTGGAGTGCTGGCATAGCTGTTGAGAGTAATTAAGGCACGTGCATAATATTACTGTGCTTAAATCTAATGCAAATCCTCACCAGTTTAAAGCCAGGCATCCCCTTCAAAACTCAGGGAACTTTTCAGAGCAAAGCACTGCAAGATTACTGGATACAATTGTGGTGATGTTCAACTGGCGACCATTGATCCACAAGACTAAGAATAAATTCCAATCAAGCTGCCTGTGTTATTCCCAGAGTGTTTTAGATGCACTTTAATCATCT